CTTTACAGACAAGGCCTTTGTAGAAGCATAGCTGGATTTTTCGGGAAAGATGCATACAGCCACACACACCTTGAATAGTTCTGTAGATCCGAGCAGAACTTTAGTTCAGCGGTTAATGGACCACCCAAGACCGTAGGAACCTAAAGCATCTGAATCTTTGTTCTGGTAATACAGCAGCCAATCTGCCAAGAGTGACCAAAGGACCAGGTTCTGCAAGGCGCCCCGGATGCCAACAGGGGAAGCAGAGGACCTGCGCTAAACTCTGAATTATGCCCCGGTACTTCTCCACCATCAGGCCTAGCTCCGTCTCGTTCATGGGGCCCTGCAGCCAGATAAAAATGCTGATCACTCTGAATTTGAGGTTCTGGGTGGTGAAGGGATTGAGGGTCTAGCCCCACCTAGCCTTGAGGGTGTTGGCTTCCGGGAAATTGATTGGGACTTCGCTTGGGTCTGTTCCCTTCAACGAGGGCTTGTGATGACTATCCGAGTTGGAGCCCCCTCCATTGCCCTTTCCAACTCTAAACCCGAAACGCCCGTGACGGCTTGGGGACTGTTGGAAATTCAGCGCTTTCATGGCGATTTGGGGTTGGAGAATGGGTGAAAAGGTGAGGATGCACAACTCGGGTTGCAGAGTTTAGCTGCCAAGGCTTCCTTAAGGTGCACGGTCCACAGGAGTTTAGGTGAACTTTGGTGTACTTTGGTGCCCAGGTCTTCTGGCGAAGCTTGGCTCACATGTTCCGGGCTCGCCTTGGCCGGGAGCTTGTGCGGATTCTTCACGAAGTGAATCCTCGGCGCTTCTGTATCCAGCGGGACTGCAGGTATCTAATTCATTTTTTGAGGTTTCGGCCTAGTGCTCAGGCAAAGGATCTAGGGCGGTTGAGGTACACTCAGGCGTCTGAAACATGGAGACCTGTCTGACGCTGTGGGAATTACGCCAACGGTTCTTAATTGCCCAACCTTTCGCAAACTTGACAGTCTGGGACTCTGACGCATGCAGCATGAATTCACGAAAGAGTGTGAGGAGCTTAGATGCGTCTCTCTTCAGCACACTAGAAACTAATCAACAAACTCCATGAAGCCTGAACAATTTACACATCCTCAGGGCTGATCTCTACTGTCAATGCCAAACCAGAACTGTAAAAGGATCGGCATAGCAAAAAGCACAGGTTTGAAACCTCTCGATGCTAGTGCTGCAGAATGCGCATCGGGCTTTGCACATACCGCCTCTGATGGACAGTTCCCAGTGGAAGATGATGCAGAGACTCCCAGAGATAACCTTCCTAGTCACGGAGAGGCCATACCAATCATAATCCAGCAGAATGCGCAAAAACAGAAAAAGAGAGGTCACTGGTCAGTTCTGGTGGGGAAGTAGCAGCTCTCCTGAAGGAACCCTACTGCCTTTTCAGGAAATCAACACGGGTGCCTGTCTTTTCATTGGCTTCTTCAAGTCTTTGGCAGGGCACCCAAAGGCCCCCCTTCTACCACACAACTCTCAGCACCAGTCAAGGTCCAATTTGCGGATACCTTTGACAGGCATCCTACCGCTTTAGAGTATGAGTAGGGGACCCCTCTTCTGAGGAATACCCATGTGGGACCACCACGATTTTGAGCCAAGGAGCGAGAATCCCAATGGCTGCTCCTTGTGGCGTTCGAAGTTGAAATAAGGCCGGAAAGTATGCTCTTGGGATTTTGTGAGGACTATACCAAGGTTCATTACGGCTTAGAGGATGAGAGCATGACCATCCCAATGAGAGACCTACACAGACTGACTGAAGGGTACTGTCCAACTGTCGATGGACGGGATCCACGGCTCAGCTCAGGTACACTCTGTCAAAAGTTGTTTAGCCATTTCAGTCTGGAGTGGGCTCCACTAGAGTGTTGCTTCAGAAGCTTGTGAGTGCTGAATGCAACTCCCTGCCTGAATCCTAGCTCCTAGCTCTGGATGCTAGTGTAGATTCTCGGATACTTTAGCTGTAGTCCTATAGATGACTTTCACAGGACCCAACAAAACCTAGCCTTTCCGTATCCGGTGGGGTGGTCATTGTTTAGGACTCTTCGAAAGCACAACATCAACCAGCTTCTGCGCAGCCCATAAATTCCAAGACCGCTTGGAAAGCACAAGGAATCGAGGCAGCAACCGCTCAACTCCTTGACACACTTGAGTGTTAAAACTACAACTGACATGGAAGACATGATCCAGCACTCAAACAAGCCTGAGCTGGTGGCAAGAAGTATCCGTGGCAAAATGGGAGGCAGGAATACTCATGTGACTCATGTTTCGAGCCCTTCAAGAACTGCTAGGGATCTACAAGGATGCCACAGGATTGCAAGAGTCTCTTGAATTCCCAGGATGAGGTCTCCGTTACCCCGAAATACTAGCTTGAGAACCTCACAACTGGACTCAACAACCCTCGACTGTGCCCATCGTGGCTCCGAAGTGGAGGGGAAGTACGCGTTCCAGGTAATTGGCTCCTGAAGTCACAGGATTCCGGGTGGATATCTGCTTGATTGGACAATTGCAGGGTTTCGGAGAAAATCATGTCATCCTGATATGAGGAAGAAAGTCAGACATTTTGCAAAGTGCTGAGGCATGTAAAATGGGGTCGCAACTACTTTCAAGAGCTCTGGATGTACCGATGTACCCTTATGGTTGTGTTGAAGCTAAGTCCCTCTCAGCAGAACTTTCGAAAAAAATAGGAGCCCGGCTTAAAGAATGAAGGATTTCCAGCATTTCTTCGTCCTGGCTACCTACGTCCGGCTTGGCATCGTTTGCTGCAAAGTAGGAGTTTCCCAAAATAGAACATTTGCAATCCCAAAGGGGGTCCCGTAATCCCCTATTCGTCCTTGATTGTCCCCTGCATTACCGTTGACAACCCCTCATGATCATCTACACTCCCTTGCAATCTCAGTACATGCCCAAATGCCGTTGTTTGGAAATCCACCCTTTTCAAGGCCTTCCCGCACAAGGCGGATCGTTTAGGAGTGTTGCAATAGCGCTGGTATCCGCATCTCCTTGAGAGCTCGCGATGCAATGGCCAAAGGACTAGTTATGAGTCACGACAGAAGCTGGCCGACGTGCATATTTTGCGCATCACGAGCGCAATCGGAATTATGATCACAAGGGGATTACATAACATGGCCTCCTTGCAACCCTAAGCCGCTTTCCAGCTCCTGTTCAGGATCTGTATCGTTGCAGTGAGTGTGCTGGTAGCCATGTCCCGGCTCGTGGTTGCACCAGCCACCGAAATAGCCTGGGGTTGATGAAGCTTGGGGGTTGATGGTTTACGGTTTAGATCTTTGGGATTCAAGGTGGAAGGCGTAAGGTTGAAGCCTTTTAGGGTTTCGGATAGTTTTAGACCCTCCGTGAGGCATGGAGAGCTGCGGGCCTATTCGGTGGCAATGCTGAGAAACCAAGCAATTGCACACCCCCAAAAATAGATACACGGGAATTAGGGGTATTAACAACACGCTTGTTCTGCATATTGTGTCGTGGATGATGCGCTTCATCTGCGCGAATTGGGTATCGCGTGTCTGCCTTCGGCTTCGTGGACTTCTGTCAAGCTTGGGGTTCCAAGTTAGCAAAACGCTTTGCAGGCTCTGGTGTGCTGATCCTTCTGTGGGAGCAGGATAGATGCGTTTTTCAAAATCGTTCCAGTCACTCACTCCCAGCATGGTCTTTACCTTACTTACAGGAAGGGAGATAAACAAATCTGTAGCCCTAACTTTCGATACACATACTTGTACATGTACTTGGTGCATTTGAGGTTGCCAATCCGCAAGACCAAGCTGCACAGGCATGGGAACAGACACTTGATCTCTGTTCAAGGGTGCTTGAGCAGTCCATGGGTTCGTCAAGCATCCGCATACCAGTCGCACTACATGAGATGGCATAGTTTAACCTCTGTCCAATCCTAGCCTGATTTAAACAGCCAAGAATTGAAGTACACCAAAGCTCACAGGAGGCCGCCTTCGCAACTGTGCGTTTTCCCGTTCTCTCATTTGCTGATTGGTCAGCATGTCGTATGCTTTGGCTCATGCTATCCAGAATCCGGACTGAACACCCAAAATGAAGGCTCTGCGACGTCAATTTCAAACATGCAAAGATGAGATGCTCACCTGGTAGCCTACACTTAAGTGCAACTACGCGTGTACTGGGTTCAGAAACCCTGGCACTGGGCAATGAGCGACCAAGGAGCTGGCAACGAAGTACGCAGCTGCCTCCAGGCAGACGCAGAAGCTATTCCGACTGACATTACAAGCCATGATGCGCACGCGCGAATTAATTATCGCCACTCACCTCTGACAAGCACTTCTAAGCCTCAGCCAGCTGCAAGACAGCTTCAAAGAGCCGTAGGATTTGGGGAAAAAAGGTGTCGGGTGCTGCTGAATGGAAAGCATCAATTGCGCGCTGGCGTTCATCATTAGATTAGATTGTTTGCGCCAACCAACTTTGATACCGGGACGGACTGGGAAGCTACACAGCTATGTGAGAGGCTGCCCCGGATCTGACTCACTGCACTACGCATTTTCTTCCAAGCCTGATCTGCAATCCCTGGATAGGTTTTGCTAATGCTGCGCCCAAAACAAAGGATCCCATGCTATCATGTACCTGACATTGTGGGCTGGAGATACCTCCCTGAGGTGGGCTCCAATTACTTGCAACCATAACAAGGGCTTCGTCTGTGATGTTTAGAACCTTTCCTACATAAGGTTATATAGGGTGCAGGGTCACTTGCATTATGTCCGATTCGGGATTTCCGGGCCAGGATCTGTCATGGAGCCACGCTCCGCTGCGAACTGAGCAAGGCTTCTGCAAACTTCAGGGTGCTAGGGCTTCTGGGCCTAGTGGGTTCAGGGTTTGCTCCCTGGTGCTTAGGAGGGAATGGGGGAATGGATTATAGGGACTATTATTGGGGATTATATAGGGGCTACTATAGGGATCCATTCCCCAATTCCCTACTAAGCACCAGGGAGTTTGAGGGGCACCGAGAATAGCAATCTTAGCCCAGGTATGGCAAAGAATCGAACCTGAAATGGCATAGAAACACTTTCGCCTTGGGGTCTCCAGTGGCGTAGGTGTGCTTGTGGACGTACCTGGGCTCTTGCCGAGGCTCTGTCAAACATGACGATTTCTTTTTGGAACGGGAAGTAAAGTTGCAGAAAAGATGAGAAAAGCTATTCTAACATATGTCAAAGGCACTTGAAGTGCGAGGTCGGCACCGCGGAGGCTGCAACAGTATCTGAAGGCAGCCTCGCAAACCAAAGATTTGGCTAAATCCCGCTCTGAGGGGAGAAAATCTTTATGGTGGGTTCTAGTATGCACCGACTTCCAAGGATCCTATCGGTCCTGTCGGCTGATGGAGAGCCAAACGTCTTTTAGGGCATGGTTGGCCTTTGGGAGAGAGGATTTACGGATTGTGATTCCGGAGCCGCTGTCCCGCTGCCTCTATACCCTCACCCTGAACCACCCTACCCCCCCAACAAAAGTGAACAGCGGCTGCCATAACAACCATTCCCTGGAGTCCGTACCTAGTTGCGGTTTAACAGACCCCTACCCCTTTTCCCTATGTATTGAATCCCCCGGCCCTAGAGGAAGTGAAATATCTCCTCCGGACCCCGTCTCCTTGACTCCTAGCCTTCTTCACCTCTGAGCAGACACAGAAGACCACATCATCTTCAGAACTAAACCCTAAGCCTAACTCAATGCCCTCCCCAGCCCCCTTCTCTCCTCCCCACCCAGAGACCTGGACGTAGGCAGCGCGCCCCTACTGCGCGAATTGAGCTCTGACTGGATAGCATCCAGCGCCTCCTTGGGAAAGAGTTTCAGGGTTTGGGGTATGAGCGGTATGAGGTTTGAGAGTTGGGTTGACGGTATACAAGCTGGTTGACGGCTTCGGGCATGGGACTGAAAATTGCTGGTTAAGGGTCGGGGGATTGTGGCTGATGCTTTCGGGTTCATAATTTGGTGTTTAGGGCGCCGCGCTTCTAGAGCTGGCTCTCCTTGGGAGTTTGTGAACAAATGGCTCCTTTGAGTAGTGATAATAATAAGAACACTGGCCTTGATGGAGGATATCTTGCATCACTGGATCCCCAGCATACCAGAATTCACGGGCAGAGAGCAGATAGGGTGGATAAGATTTCCACCGTCCACAAGAAAACTAAAGGAAGTGGTAGTAGTCGTCCTCGTCACAGCCGTAGCCGCGCAGCAGCAGCAGCAGCAGCAGCAGCAGCAGCACAAGTAGCATGAGAAGGAGTAGCAGCAGCAGCCGTAGTACTAGTCGTCGTCATCATCATCCTCGTCATCGCCGTCATCGTCGTCATAGTAATCGTATTGCTAGGGGTGGGGTAGAGGTGGGGTAGGGGTAGGGGTGGGGGTAGAGGGTCAGGGTAGGGGCAGGGGCAGTGGCAGTCGCATTCGCAGCAGCAGTAACAGTAGGGGCCGTAGTTGCAGCAGCACTCATATTGGTGGTAGTAACGGTAACATGCAAACTCGTACACGCACTGCCAACAGTACTAGTTTATAAGCACGAGTATACTAGTGTACTTGGACTAGCAGTAGCAGCAGCAGCAGCAGCAGCCGTAGCAACATTTGTAATGGTAGCGGAGGGGTAGCGGTAGCGGTTTTGCAGCAGCGGCGGCAGCAGCAGCAGCAGTACTAATACCAGAACTAATACTACTGCGAATAACAACAGCAGCAAGAGGAGGAGTGCTAGTGGTGGTGGCGCAGCAGTACTAGTAGTACCAATTTTTGAACTCGAACAAGGATGAGGCCCAAGATTACTGTGCAGCCCAGGCTTCAGAAAGCTCCTCTTCGGCCCAAAGGCCGAAATCGGCCAAGCGGAGGCGACTCCAGGGCCTGAGCTTATCTTTTTTCGAGGCTTAGTGGCAAGGTTTGTGGTTTTGGTTGAGGTCACAATTTAGACTTCAGGGAAACATGCAGAATCATTTAGGAAGTCCCGTGACTCATATGTTCCCTTTGGATGTCTCATTTCTCAAGATCTAACTCAAACTGCCGAGGAAACCCTCAGAGCTACTGTTTAGGGTCAAAGCTTCAGGGGTCATCTAGAAAGTTCAACCAGCAATGCGCAGCGTAAAAGGTCGAACTTCCCAGGATTTAAGGGATAAGGCCTCTGCGAGTAGCTACCAGGCTTGGTTGGTCAAAATTTAAGCTTTTGTTTGAAATTACCCTTCCATAAGTACCTCCTAACATATGGTCTGCATCCCCAGAATTATGAGGCTGCCTGCCTCCAGTTTGAGAAGTCAGCCAGTCTCCGCGCTGCTGGAGCACCAGAGTCAAAACCGTGCTGTGCCACCAGGGCCTCATTACCACTAGAAACATCCCCAGGTGTCAGTAAGTGAAAGGGACCGCAGAATATGAGTTGAACAGCTGAACATCTTCCTACACAGGTAGAGAAGAGGACTTAAGATCCCGCGCTCGGGATGTAGCGTTTGGGGCTGTAGCCTCGTGGTCTTGGGCTTAGTTTGAGGGGGTTTGGGCGGTCCCTAGCATAGTGACTTTTGTTGCACAAAGTCATTAAGGCAGACCTGAGCTTGCATGGCTCAGAGCTGCTTAATGAGGAAAGACAGGATTAATAAAAAGTTATTGCATGCGTGTTGGCCATCTAACCATGTGCGCAACCCCAAGCACTAAATCCAAGAAGAAGCTAACTGCTCCTTCTTGGGGCCTGCGTTTCCAATCTTTACGCAAAGGCCCTATCGCAGAAAAAAAGTCTGTTCTTTGTGGTGAAGGGACGGTCACAGTAAACAACTTGTAGCATGAAAGGATTTTCTGGAAATGAGAGGGGAGATGGATGTTGATGCAAGGTTTCAGGCTGGGATCGGTGCTCCGAACATTTTGACTCTAGTCCTTCTTTTAGAGACTCCCATCTTTTGTGTGATGCTGCCAGGGGCCCCGCCAATATTTTTGCAAACCTGTCTCAAGTGGCAGGGTGCGGTATCATGAGGAGTATCACACAGCGTTGCCAAAAGGACCATGACTTTGAGCGCTACCCATAATCATTCTGGCATCACCCTGGAAACGCCTCTATGGATCCCCAAAACCTGTTAAAGGAAACTCACATTCAAAGACAAGGGCGAGGAACAAAAAGAGCACCGAAGGCGAATGCCAGCAGGGCTGTTGCAAGGCTTTTCAGAGCCATGGCTGACAGACAGCTGGAACACGCCAGACGGGGAAAGAGTTTGGCTAGGGCTAGGGATCTCCCACTTAACGTTCCATTTTGAGGCTAGGTTGGTTCGGTAGTATCAACGAGGCATCATTTGCTCAATGATCTGGGGCAAGCCTGATGAGCTACGCTCAAAGCACCTAAGCCACCTACGAATACACTGTGGCTGTAGAACTTCCCATCTCGCGGAAGGTTAGATGGCTCGTGTGAGCGTGCATGCATGCATGCTTCTTACAAGAAGCTTTTGAGCAAGGTCCATGCCATGCGGACCGGTGCGGAAGCAGAGCGTTGAGGTATTAATTGAACCGCTTCCACGCGGCTTGTCTTATCGAACTTCATGAGGTGCCACAGGTCTGGGAGCCTTCCGCGTGATCTCGTTGTGCTAGATATGCCCTCCCTTCTATTGAATCCACCTAGGAACGGAAAGCTGCTTCATCTACACTATACACAGGTTTTCAGATGAAGCGGGATAGCTAGCTTCAAGCGGCAGAGGAGCGCAGCAGATTCCTCGTTGCGGCTGTCTTGGCGGAACTATTGGTGGCCCGTTCCTGTGCGACACGCTTCTATCATCTTCACGTCTTCCAGTTCGAAACCTTGCAAATCAAATCAAGGCGAAATACATGTATCACGAACCTAGATGGAGAAAGGCTACAGCAGTACCACTTGCCAAGCGTGTGAAAGCGTGTTCGACCGATCTGAAGTCCATCTGCTGCCATTGACTCCAACCCCAGAAACTTCATGAAGCCTAGTGCTTGTTGTTTTGACACATGCTCAAGAAACTTGAGCTCATTCCCAAGTATGCGAAGGCCCCAAAGGCTTACAAAGAACCTTCTGAGCCCCGCCCCCAAAACCCCCCAACCGTCAACCCCAACAAACTCGTAAGCCCTAAAACCTAACAAGAGCACCTCGAGAAAAAGGTGGTGGATAAGGAGTTCAAACACACATAGCGCCTGCATGCGAGACAGGAATACCGGCTTTCAAGTACATCTGAGTGAAGTATGTCATGAGCAGAATCATACTACGGCCTTCAGGGAGTAGAAGTGGTATTCAACTCAACTGCTTTTCGAAACCCATATCTTCCCTGACATTTTGGCTCCGGACCATCCCCGGCCATTTCTTGTTGCCCTTGTACGACATGGCTCACGGAGTGTTGCTTTGACCCGTTAGCCCTTCAAATCCGGAAGCCCGGACTGTCAGTTATGCTTTAACCTTTAGCAAGACATGTGCTGCCCGCAACACAGGCCTGCGAATCTGCAATCTGAACCATGTTTCTGCGTTTGTTGCAGGAAGCGCTGGAAAGAAATGCATCTACCATGCAGGCAAACACAGAAAGTCTGCCAACCGAAGGCAGGTGGCTACGGAAGGCGCGGCGAACAAAGAGATGTCTGGCATCAGGTCTCTTGCGGCCCAACACGCAACAAAATGAGCTTAGGCTAAAAGATGGACCTAATTTATGTAAACCCCCCAAGGTCTTAAGCCGTCAAGCCCCTTGTCATTCAGAGCCCGGATGTGTCGGCACCATCAACCCCAAATCCAGCGCCCTAAAACCTTTGACCTGGAACCCAAAACCTTATACCTAAACCCTGAACCCTCGAAAGTCAATAGCAAGCAAACGCCTCACTGCTGGCAACTTGGCTGCACGGTTTGGCGCAGTGATTGGCAGCGCCTTTGTTGATTGTCAGGGCTTCTGATATGTGAGAGGTTGTCAAGAAGAGGGTCCCTCTACAGACTCCAAAGAAGGACCGACAATTCCACAGACTCAGACGCGTTCAGTCTCAATATAGACACCATGCATAGTTCTAGGCTCGGACCAAATTCCCAGAAGCAGTCCCCCGAAATTATTCCTCGAGGGAATCTAGTAAACCCCTGCTAGTTCTGGCCCTGGAGCTGAGACGTACGGGAAGAGGGGTCCAAGGCCCCGCTTGCTTTCAGAAGGCTACGGATCTCAAAAATTGTCGTTTCTGACCTATAGTTGAAGAAAAGAGTGCTGAACTACACAGCTTGTCCCGTATCATGCATGCCGGTGAAGTTGGTCAGCTATGTTAGGAATCGGAGAGAGCTGGAGTTCAGCCACTGCAAGCAGTATGAGTATGAGGAAATGTCTTGCATTCAGGGTTTTGCGCTCTTGAAGACTGACCTATATTAGTCACCATTGTCTGCTCCATGGTTGAACCAATCCAACCTAATTACATCCGGCTGATCGCCTGGACCGACAAAGAACACGTGTAGTACTAAATGGGGAGTTTGGCAGATTCCTAAATCGTATCGATGTTGTGATGGGGCCACAACCTGCCAGAAATAGTATTCCGTCTCTGACATGTACTTACCATCCCTGGCATTGTTCTCTTTGACGAGATATAACTTACAACATGATCCTGTGATGCTAAGCTACGGTGCGCGGGTGCTCATGCGCAGAGCGTTTTTGTTGACCTCTTTTATGATGTGGACTTTCAGTCTATGGTCTATGGTTGCACACTTAGACACTAGAAGTATATTTGTCCTTAGCACATATTTCGATTGTCAAAAGCCACTAAGATTCAACACGATCAACATCAAACTGCAAGTGCAGTGGACGCACGCGATGACAGCTTGATAAAGTATTTAGATTGCTACGTACCGGCCATTCAGTTCCTAGACTTGTGACCTCAGAACGGTGGGCTTTTCTAGAGCTTTGTCCAAAACGGAATAGCACATGGTCGTTGTGCGGCAATTAATGGCGAAAACGCCAAGCTTGCGGAATTTCAGCGTCTCTGAGGAAGGTAGACCTGACTGTTACTTGTGAACGACCATGCGTCCATGTCCATAAACCCCTATGTCATCCCAATGCTATGGGATGCCCGACATTTTCTGCAGGAGTGGGGTGGGAAAGGGCTTGGAATGGAGCGGGGCTGCATTTCACTGTGAACAGCCGATGCGCCCACTCCCTCTCGCCCCTCCCCGCCCCACTTCCTTACTGGTGTAGTTTCGAAACCAGTCTCCCGTATCCTTGTCAAGGCACGTACTTTTTCCGTCTGAACCCAGAGGTTCAGTCAGAAAAACATGTTGAGTGGCAGGAGACTAGCAATAAAGCACCACCTTGCATTACCACCCGAACTCCCGTCCTTCCAAGCTCCCCCGTAGCCAGACACAACGCTCTGGCGTCTACATGTCTGACAGCGATGGACGGCGCATCCAAGAACAGGGGGCTATGGTAGGCAGGGCTGCGGATGCCACAAGGCATCTGCAGTACACGTCACCTAAAGCCAGGAAGCACCAAGCAGTCAATCAAGAGTACAACTATGTGCCAAGCATGCACAAATGTGCAAACAGGCCATAGCCAAGTGCTTTCCACCTACAATAGATCTCGCGGACGTTGCCGAGTCGTGTGCGCTAGACGCTAGCCAGCACAGGCCCTTGCGGGCTCACTGCCCTTGGGCTCAGACTGGAGTGCGTTGACCGGCAGTTTGGCAAGCAGGGGCTATGGCTCTGGGGTTGGACGGGTCTCAGGCATGTTGGGAAGCTACATGGGTGCAACCTCAAGCAGAATTGGTTTCTTTGAGCCTGTGAGTGACTGGAGCCATGCCTTTTCTTGAACAGCATCTGTTTTCCTCAGGCGCGGCCGCAGAAGAACCGGGCTTAGTTGCGCGTCCCGTTGGTTGCGAGAGCTTCCCCACTTGTAGCTGCTTTTCCGCAGTGGGAAATGCATCAAACCCTTATGACAACCCTTCGCGAACGTCTTAATGTGTGTGCTAGCAGGAGTTGTGTCTACAATGTCTCCACAAGGCCGCGCCAATCCCAGTCATCTCCTCTTCCGAGATTTGATGCCACTTCCAGCTGCAAGAAGATTCTCCAGTTGTGCTGTTGATCCAGTCCAAGGACGCGCGACTGCAGATTCGGCAGCAACAACACAAGGCAGGCCGCAGGCCTCTTTTTCCAAAATTATGAAGTGGAAAAGGGGTGGCGAAATGAGAGCAGGCAGTCATGGTGACATGGCTTCTTGACATAGGCTCCGTTGCAGCTGAAAATAACGTTCCAGATTAAGACCTCATTTTCAGGGAAGCTGGGATCATCCAAGGTCTCCTGCCTCGCACGATTATTGTTGCAACTCCTCCATCCTGTATGGGAGAGAAGGCCCTGTGACAGGACCCACTTCTCAATCCTGCATGAATATGTACTTATGACACGCAATGCTTGAGGGACATGCAGCTTGGAAAGTAGTTTTAGAAGGACTCGCCAAAATGTGGATCCCCCAACTTCCGTTCCTACGTTCAAGGGCTCACGCTGGATACCTCCCCAAACCCTACAACAGCCAAGCAAAAACAATGTTACGCGTTTATGGGGCCGCCTGTGCACGGCCGTTCCAGGGTGTGGGGAGTTCTCAAACTCTTGCCTTTGAGTCTACTATCGTGGCCTTTGCTATGCGGAGGTCACCTCTGCTAACATATTCGAATGCTGGCGGGACGCTTTCCCTGGCTTGGAAATGATTTGGGTACTTGTCTGAATCAGGATCTCTTTACCGTTTACATCCAAGATATACGTAGCCGCCACCAAAATCCAGCCAAGTATTTGGAGAAACCCGAACTTGAGGCTTGGGGTTGTCACCTCCGCTGCAAGTTGTGTCTCAATGGCAAGGTCCCGTTAGAAAAGTACGGATTTCCAAGTACAGGTCTCTCCTAGGGGTCCCTATAATGAGTCTTGTGATATTTCGGGGGTGCATAGGGGTGTTATATTACTTTGGGGGGCGCATCAGGGATACCCTTTTCCCGATCAGATCGGTATAGTGGCTCCCGCCATGCGCAATACCAAATTCATTACACCCTGAACCCAGAATATTGAGACACATTCTGGTGCAAGTGCCCTCTTCATGTGGGTCGGGAGGGGGCCTCATTGGGGTGCCCACCTTTTGTGCCAAAATAACAACCCAGTTCATAAGCCCAACGCGTGCTAAACTTAGAGGTAGGCTCCCCTTGAAGGACCCTCCCCACCCCCATGACCTT